TCTGATAAACTACTCCCTATATGTTGGGTTGAAACCTCAAAGATAAGTGTCTTGAGGAAGAATAAAAGTCTGAAAGACTGTTGCCTAGCTTCCAAGCATATCAATCCCCAAATTAAATTAAGACTAACCCAGATTGCTAGTCTCTTCAGGTACCCAATAACAAATTTAAGTTATTTATGAGGGGGTTAAAAAAAAAAAAAGGAATGTTGTAGGCTTCATTTTTATAAATGATATGTGAAATATAATGTCAGGCACACATATATTTTTTAAAAAGACCAGAAAAAAAAGGTAATATAAAAATCAAACAAAAACAGAGACAAGAGAAGTAAGTCCCTATAAGCTAAAAATATTAGAGTTACAGATATAATGTATAAAATCATTATGCTGACCACATATAAGAGGATGAAGAAAGAAAATTTTAGCTGAAAACTGGTCCAAAACAAAACAATTTTTTAAGAAGCCTAAAAGTAAAAGTCTAAAAGTAAACTCCTACTGAAATTAAGAATTCAAGGAGTAAATTGATTATTTAATAACAGATATAGGTAAGTAAAAAAAAATATCCAAAATAAAAACAGTAGAGGAAAAAAATGGCAAAGAATAAGGAAAGAAAAAATATTGAGAATAACAGTCTATTACAAGTGTAATCAGAGTTTAAAATAAAGAAAGACAATTGGGCAGAAGGAATATTTGAAGAAATACTGATAAGAATTTTTTTACATAGACAATAGACCAAGTGCCTCAAAAGCCCTTTGCAGCCAGTCAAAGCTTAGTCGTTAAGAGAGCTGGATCCTATATGGCTGATTGCTGTTTGAGTCTTGGTCCCAGTGACTTGAAAAATATGTCAGGTCCACATGCATAGGTTTCCAAAATGCTGTTGAAACAAGGAATGAAGGAGAAAGTTTGTGGCATGGCCATGGTACATGGCACAAGGAAGTGGCGGTGGTGGAGAGGGTGCTCTTTCTTTATCTGGTGAGTTCACGTGCCATCTGTCAATAATAATAATCATAATAATCTCTTTGAACCACAAGAATAATAAATAAAACCACAACTATCTCCATCACAGCAAAACTATTAAAAGCCAAAGATAAATAGAACATCTAAAATGCAATCTTCAAACAAACTCTTGGACTGATAGTTAAATTTTCAATAGTTATAATGAAAATTTAAAAAGTATAAAAAATGAGCTGCTAACTAAGAATTCTAAACCAGGGGACAAAGTATGTTTCAATAAAAGTTTAAATAAGGACATGTTGAATCAAAACAAAAAGGCATAGTTCATCCCCATAAAGTATTGTATTGGTAAAAAGATATCCTAGATAGAATACCAAAGACAAAGAAAGGAAGTAAGGGCTGTCTTCATAGCCCAGTGGCTAAGAATAGTACATGGAGAGCTGGACTTCACATGGCTCACTACAGTTAGGATCCTGGACATCATGGCTTGAAAATCACACCGGGCACTTGTGTGTGTGTGTGCCCATAATGCTGGTGATGTGGAAAAGTGGATGAAAAAGGGTTGCAGCATGACCAACTGATTACAACTATTGCTCTGAATAATCAACTGTTTTTCATCTTTACCAAGGAAGCTTTATCTTCTGTCAACATCTGTAAAAATTATAGCTAGCTAATTTGTTAATTAACAAATAGGGCTGAAATACCAGGCCATTCATAATCTTTGACAGGGAACAAAAAAGTATAGCCCATGGAAGAAAACTAGTCAGTTAATAGAAATCAATCATCAAAAAATGGCACAGAGGATTCAATGAATATGAAAATACATGTTTAAAAATTATTAGAAACACATTAGGAATTATTAAAAATGAATATATGAATTTAAGTATATCTCCAAGAAGCTGAAAGGATTGATCATGTCAAGAAAATAGAAGACATTAAAAAAAAAAAAAAAAAAAAAACCAGTGCCTAAGATGAAAATTACACTTGATGGGAATAATGGCAGATTAGACACTATGGAAGAAAGGACTCATGAATTTGAAGATGGAGCAATAGAAAATATCCACATTTAAACAAGGAATAATGACTAAAGAATATAAAAGCATTTGTGAGGTATGGAACAGCTTAAAGGGTAATTCCAATGATGATATATATAAATTTTAATCTCACAGTGAATGTGAGAGGGAGAGAAAATATTTGGAGTAAAAATGGCTGAAAGTTTTCAGTAATTTGATGAACTGTGAATCCATACATGACTCCTAAGCACAATAAACATTAAAAATTTATACTTAAGTACTTCATAATCAATTTGTAAACACTAATGATGAAGAGAAAAATCTCAAAAAACAAAAATAAACAAATGACATACATATCAACAAAGATTATAAACAAAGCAAAAGTATGGGTGTTTTGGTGCCCACCCTATGGCCAAAACAAAGCAAAATATCATTTGAAATTACAAATTGTAGTTATATGCAAAACATGGATGAATCTCATAAATGTAATGTTAACCTAAAGAAGGTAAAAAAGCATATATAATATACATATTTTTATATCTGTTTCAAACAATTGGGAAAAATAACATTTAGAAAGGTACATTTAGGTGCTAAAACCATAAAGAAAACCTAGATGATGAATACTATGATAGCGTACAAATTTAATCTAGTGATTGTGGTGGAGGTACTGACTGGAAGTGGGTGGCTGAGAGGACTCCAGGACTGAATGGTTGTTATAAAAACATGCAGCTTTTAAATCTGCTTTTGGTTATTTAAAGTCTGTTTTATTTGTGTGTGTGTGTCTATGTATGTGTGTATGTGTGTGTGTGTATGTATAGTTATACCAAATTATACCAAACATAAGTGTACATTTAGCTATGTAATAATAATACAAAAAAGCTAGCAGTGTAATGAAAGCACTATGTATCAAATAAGACAGATGCACATGCAAATAGTTATGACAGTAAGTGTAATTAGGTACATTATTTTGCGCAAAACCACTCAGATTAAATTACACTCAATAAAATTGTAAGTGTTTAAAAATATAAAGTTGGAAATTGGCATATTTGGAAAAAAAAAAGGCAACATGAAAAACTACTTTAGAACTTATCC